TATTTAGGACCCACTTATTTGTTCTTCGGGCAGTTCAGGATATCTGCAAAGCTCTATTCCAGCATCATATTTCAAACAAATCATTTTCCTGTTTTCTTAACTGTCCATTTTTCACACCCATACACGTTGATTAAAATTACAACAGTGTAGATGGTTTTGATTTCCAATGACACATCCTTACACTTGATGATCTTTTCTAGTTCCTTCATTGCTGCCCATCCTAGTCCCAGTCTTCTGCTGATTTCTTGGCTGCAGTCTCCATTTGGATTGGTTGTTATATCTGGTTTGGTCTTATATGTAAACCACCCAGAATAATGCTGTGGATTAATAGGGTGGTATATAAGTTAAATAAATAAATAAATACACCAACTCTGCACTTTTGACTCATTAAAACAAACACAGTCTACTAGCCATTCATTATGGCCTGCCTTGTACATAATAATCACCCTGTTTTTGTAGTTCCAGGCAGCAGTCAATAACTGGAGGTAACCAGTAGATAGCAATATATGGTTGGTGGGCTAAATGTTTTTTTTCTGACATCCCAAGCAGTGCCAACCTGGTGTTCACAAATGCACATCATCATAATCCAGCAGCTCTCATTGAATTCTTCTTGCACGGAAACGCAACCTAAGCTTGGGAGGTTTTAATGTACATTTTGATATCTGTCTTGTTCTTGATACTGTATATCCATCCTGATTGTCTGCCTTGAATATTGTTGCTTTCCCCCAGTGTCCCCTGTGTGTTTTCCCTCAAACACAGGTCCACCTTCAGACACACGTGCTATTTTCTCCCACTGTACATGCTGCCACCAGTGGATCATTATCCACACAGTACCAAATAAGTTTCTTAGACCCGGGCTGCCAACTATAACAGGTGTATTTATCGTTAGATTGGTAAATCACAGAAGTAAAGTCATAGATATCCTTTTATTGTTCAGTCATTAAACTTGAATAGGATTACACGTTTGCTTGTTTGTATTCATTCACATTACCCACTGTAACAATATCTTATGACTGTCTATCTATTTTCTATTACTTTTATCTCTTATCTATTCTCTAACACACACCAACTTTCCAATCTCTGTCTTAACACTTCAAAACTCCCCTCAGTCTCCAACTGTTCTTCTTGACTCCACCACTCGTGTCCTGTCATAGGCTCCGGCCCTAGAGCTCCATATGACGGACAGGCTTGACTTGGGCATTCCGCCACAGAGCATATGTTATACAGTAATTTTTAAAAGAGCCAAAAGCAGTCAAGGATTATACTCATTACCAACCCAAACAATTCCAAGGAACTGGGGGGGGGGGAATCCCATAGTCTTTGGAGCCTTGCTAGTCAGGACTATAAGAAATGTCACAGAAGACTATCCAAGAAAGGTAGATGACAGTGTCTTGCTTCTGAGCTAAACAGAGGAAGTACCATAATGGATAAGTGACAATATTATGTGTGGTACACTGTTATAAAAACACACACACACTGAAAACTTACAGCAAGCGAGTTTTATTTCATGTCTGCAGGCATGGAGAGAACACACCTGGGGGGTGCAGTCTCTGCTATTCAAGCATTCAGCAATACATTTTATGCCCGACGCAAAGCATCCCCTCTCTGTCCCTCTGTCCAATCCTGACCAATGCAGAGAGCTCACACTCTATCTATCACATGACGCTAAGTGCCCATATATGTATTCTCCCTTACTACACTAACTCTACACTGTCTCATGTTTCTTAACTTTCACTTTCCACTTTCATTTCTCAATTTTCTGTGAACTCAGAACTATTACTTCACCTATCCATATCAATAACAGCCAGGACAACTGGTACATAAAAACCAATACAGGATAGCCCATGCTATGATAATATTTTGATCTGGCTCGACTCTCTGCAAAAGAGATATGGACCAGTTTAGGTGACTGCACTCAAAGATAAGATACATGTCGGTCATCAAAATCATATGCACATGAGCTAGAACAAATCCTGCTTTTGGTGTTATGCCACAGAAGCCACCTGCACAAAGGATCTCCAAAATCCATCTGAAAGACAAAGAAAATTGTAATCAGTAGTGCAAGATACAGAAAATGTTTCAGAGCTTTTTAAGTTAAAATAACCTAGATGGTTAGTTTAAACCTATATTTAGAATACGAGATCAAAATTAACTTTGGGTACAAGACATAAGGCAATAGTACTGATGCACATTTGAGTGCATGAAAACAAGGAAATGGGCAATATCTTCTCTTTGAAAGATAACGTGTTATATCAAGTCCCACCTAGAATGCAATCTGATACATATGCATTCAGGAATAAACTTTGCTAAACACTTGGAAACTATTTCCAAATAAAGATGTACAGGATTACATGATAAAGAATGAACATTTTCTTTCAGAACTATGTCATCCTATCAGGGTTTAGATTTGGTAACCTCACAGTGCAACAATGCCTCCTTGTAGGCTTGCTGTCCACAATTAGTGGCTTCTGACTTGGAATGAAAAAGTAGTATTTGTGCTCAACTCCATCAGCATTCAGAAAATTATAAAATTGGGACCTGTGTAATTTTTTTCCCCAGTTTTAGTTTACAGAACAACAACATCTACTTCGGTCACTAGCTGGAAGGTATCCCTAGAAACAAAGATCGAGTCAGGGCTGGTTCATTTATTTCTCCCCAGAGCTGTTAGGCATCTCTACTGTTGTCTTTAGGGCCCAGAATTCTCCAAACAGTTAAAACACAAGTATACAGAGAGAAAGGGGATGATAATGGATCATTCCATGTTGTGCTCCCTAGCATCAAAAATTAAGATGAATGCCAAAGCAAATCATTCTCATCCTAGTATCCAATAACTGATGTTTTGTCATTTCATCTACTCAATTTTTCCTCAGTCAATACTAGCAGAAACCCCTTTAGCTGCTGCTTCCCCCAACCCTGGTGATCCTTTTGTTTCTTTCACCCTTTTTAAAACTCTTCTCTTTCCCCATTAAAAACAAAACTTTCTGGCCCTTTTCTTCCTCTTCCAGGTGCTTCTCCATCCCTTCCCTCTGCTTCCTATCCCCATAACATGCAGCAAACCTCTTTCTCTCTGTATACACATCTTTTAACTGGAGAATTCTGGACCATAAAGTGGGGAGCACCATGTGTAGATGCCTACAGACTCTGAGAAATAAATGTCCCAGCCCTCACTCCCTGTTGTTTCTAGGGTAACCTTCTGGCTAGTGACTGAAGCAGATACGGTAGCTCATATTTCTGTGCCACTGCATAGCCATGGAGGGACCATGACTTCTGTGGTGTAGTTTGGGGATGCAAATAGGATATATCATCCAACAGTAGTTTGGACAGGATTGCATCTAAAAACCCTTTGAAATCATGAGGATCCATGCCTGGAATCCATGTCTTCGTGCCACTAAAAAGCCATGCACTGAAGGATCCATAATTTTTGTGGTGTAGTGAGCACAGATGAGATCCATTATTTTGATGTTGGTTTGGAAAGGATCCCACATAAAAGTCATATGAAATCATGAAGATCCATTCTTGGTTTCATGGATCTGCATTTTACTATCTTCCCTTCTAATTTATTTATTTATTTATTTGATTTATACCCTGCCTATCTGGCCCACCGGACCACTCTAGGCGGCTTCCAATATAAAATCAGATAATAAAAACATAGACAAATACAGTGGGGTCTCGACTTATGAACTTAATCCGTATTGGACGGCAGTTCTCAGGTTGAAAAGTTCTTAAATCGAATCTGCATTTCCCATAGGAATGCATTGAAAACCATTTAATCCGTATCTGCTCTTTTCGTCCATAGAAACTAATGGGAAGCTGCTATTCCGCCTTCTGCCACTAGAGGGGGATATTTTTTCTTTTTTCCTTTTAACCTAAGATGACTTAGCTTCTAAAAAAAGAAAAGAGTTCGTAACTCAAATCTAAGTTCTTAAGTCGAAACGTTCCTATGTCGAGCTGTTCGTAAGTTGAGACCCCATAATAATCAAACAGCAACAGCAGTAAAATAAAGAAGGAAAAGAAAGAGAGAAATCAAGAATTGGCTGGGGGGAAAGCCTGGATAAAAAACCATGTTTTTAGTTGGGTTTTAAAGGTGCCCAGCGTGGGGGCCGCGCGAATCTCCAGAGGGAGATTGTTCCAGAGGCGAGGAGCCACCGCTGATGGGAAATCCTTTTAGCTGATGGGAAACGATTGTAGTCAATAATTTTGAAAGCCTTTCCAAGGCGTTTGTTACTAACCATTTAGTCATGGACTACACCAAGGTACACCCTAGAGTTCAATGAGTCAAGTAGCAAGCACGTACAAGTTTGCAGTTTTAAACAACGTAGTGACACCATCGTTCAGCTTTTAAACTGGTGCTACCCAGTCCTTGCCGCCCTTACTATCTCGATTAGTGCGACTGAGACAACTTCACCCGGGGCTTGGACCCACGTTGCCCCCCTTGACTCTTAGGCACTTTCAACAAACACTGCCTGAGGCATTTACCGTTTGGGAAAAGCAGCCGTCTGGAACTGTTTTTCCCAAAAAGTAAATGCATCATCAGGAAGTTTTCAGCTGCAGAGCTTTGCCTTGGGGCGGAGCCAATTTCAAATCTATGCGCCTACATTTGAAAGCCGTCACGCAAATGAATAATTGGCAATTTATTTTCTGAGGCTGACGGCCCCCTTACAGTGGCCTTTGAACCTCTCAGCTGATACCTTCTATGGATAGTTTTTACCCCTCCCCCCGGCCTTACAGTCAATTTTTTTAACCATAGCGAGCTTTCCCCGCTTCTCCGAGAGCGCGACGAAACACAGCAGTTAAGTCGAGCTACGGCGGTTAAACTGCCTTCTCCCTCTCCCATCTCTGAGCCCCTCCCCTCCGTTTCCCTGGGTAACTTGTCCCGCCCCTTGTGTTCTGCGCAGCTTCTGATTCCTCGCTGCTGTGTGTATGGTTTTTCCCCCCTGCTTCACGGTGCTTTAGAAATCTGACTCGGGATTGGCCAGGGTCGGAGACTCTCTGCCAGACGACCAATGGCTGGAGGGTGCTCGCCCGAGTCCAAGATGGCGGTGCTGGGGACTGGCAATAGGGCCCCTGGAGGGAGGAGGTGAAGCGGCCTCGGTTGGAGGCTTTGGGCCCCACCGCTCCGGCTCTTTCCCTTCTTCCCGGAGCCAGCGGGGGGGACTCGGCTTGGGTCCCAGCCATGGCAGCGGAAAGCAGCAAGCAGTTTTGGAAGCGGAGCGCAAAGTTGCCTGGCAGGTGAGCGAGGGAGGGCCGGCCGGTCGGCCGGGGTCCTCTCTGGCATCGGTGCCGACTAATCAGGCGTTCCACCCTTGAGTCAGGCAGCGATTAGCGATGGCAGTTTAGCGGAGAGTATCTGCCGCCATTCATTCTGCGAGAGGGCTCCCGGTGTCTCCCCCCCCCCAAACTGATCTGTGGCCACGAAGGAGGAGGAGAGGCGAAACTGTGTAGAAAGGTTGTATTGGGGTTTCCCCAAGGCTAGTCTCGCTGTTAGGGTCGTGACACGGTTCCTCTCAGGCACAAAGTACCGGCTCTGGTACACAGCAGCAACCGCAATCTGAAGTCCTTTGCTAATGAATGGAGCGCCGGGACAGCGGCTTCCTTGGTTCCCACGGTCAGAAGCTGGTCCTAGAGAGCAATAGCGGAGCTGGCGAGGTCCTGGGGCACCTCTCCCGCCTGGGCCATTCGTCTTGCGATCGGCGAGATGGTGCCCTGCAGAGGGAGGATTGCTCTTTGCCGAGGAAGTCCATGCTTCAGTCGGTGGGGATCTGTGTATGCTTATTACGCTGATGCGTATTGCTTGCTGAACGCTGTGATTCAGGTTAAATATAAATCCAGGTAATAAAAAGGAACTGGCATTATTCTTTAAAAGCAGCGGCAACAACAACAACAACAACAACAGGGTTAGGCCTAAGGTCATGCTTCAGTCGGTGGGGATCTGTGTATGCTTATTACGCTGATGCGTATTGCTTGCTGAACGCTGTGATTCAGGTTAAATATAAATCCAGGTAATAAAAAGGAACTGGCATTATTCATTAAAAGCAGCGGCAACAACAACAACAGGGTTAGGCCTAAGGCGAAATGAACAACTGGCAACCTTTTCCCTGCTTCAGCTGGAAAGTTCTGTGAAGAATTTCAGGACACAAGGCAGACCTTGAAGCAGAATTCCTCGTCTTCTGCTAAGAATTCTTTTCTTGAGCTGTGCCATGAGTCGCCCCCATAGTGCCCATTTCCAAAGTTGGTGAAGTGGAAGTTTGCATTTCTTGAGTTATGGGGGCTTAGAAGGGTTCGTAGATTGGATAGATATGTTTGTGCACACAAGAAGTACTGAACCAAGTACCAGGTTCTTTTTCCCACCCTGGAAAGTTGGCCTGTGGAAAACTACTATTGACAAAATGTTTGGGCTATTGCTGGAGAACATCTGGAGTTTAGACAAACTTCTCTAAGTTCTAAGGAAAGGTTTCTCACACCATATACTGGCAAGATCATTGTCTGCATTTCTTGAGTTATGGGGGCTTAGAAGGACCCTGGCTTCTTTCAGGGTTCGTAGATTGGATAGATATGTTTGTGCACACAAGAAGTACTGAACCAAGTACCAGGTTCTTTTTCCCACCCTGGAAAGTTGGCCTGTGGAAAACTACTATTGACAAAATGTTTGGGCTATTGCTGGAGAACATCTGGAGTTTAGACAAACTTCTCTAAGTTCTAAGGAAAGGTTTCTCACACCATATACTGGCAACATCATTGTCTTATACCTATTTGTCTTGGATAATTTCTTCCCCTGGGTTGGTTATATCTTTGTGATTAAGAAAGTGGGTTCAATTTGCCTGTTTGCCCACTAGGAGTGTATTTGAAAGTATGAGAAAACTCAACACAGCTCTTGGCTAATTTAAAAGAGTTTAAGACCTACCTAATCCTTGTTGATATCATCAGGCATATATGCCCTGGAAGAAATCGGGAATAAAAACCAAGACATGGATGCGTGTTTTGGATAAGGCTGTGTAGTTATAACATATAAGTGTTATATTCTGCACATGCTCTCTAATGTCATCTTGACCCTGCATTCCTATTACAGTTTGCCACTGCAGCCCCTCTAGAATGCTTAGCTGGCTTAAAATCCTGCCAAGCTAGGTAATTCTTTATTTCTGCCTCTAATACACACTGACTTTCCTGTCAAACATAAAATTGCAAGGATAGTTTAGATGTGTGGGAAAGCTGCAGATACTTGCTGTATAATGTATTCTTAAGATGTTAACACACATTATCTTTGCAAATATGCTAGCATCTCCCTATCTTAAGTCTTTTATCACATCCTGCTTGCATGGTATATTTCTGCTTCTTTCTAAAGGAGTGTGTCATTTCCATCTATAGCCATTTTAAACAGTAAAGTTGACTCAACCTGGCAAACCGGTTTTGGGAAAGTAAGTCAGCCAACTTGAACTTCAGCCCAACCAGTGTGTGTCAACTTCATCCAGTTTTGGTATAAGTTGTCTGCCAGCTGCTGAGAGATTTTTAAAGCTATGGAAGGGAGCTGATTTGTGCACATGCAGTATTGTCTTAATAGTACTTATTATGTATTTCTCATATGCTCTTTTATGAAGCACACATAGCTTGTAATTAATTATTCTGAGAACCAGTTACACACAGCCCCTCTACAACAGACTTGCCTTGCTCCCCACTCATGTTATACTGCAAGCTGTGAATAAATGGCTCAAATTGTTTGTTGAGAATAAATCACCATTTTTGTATTAACTTGCGTTCGGAAAGTTGGGCATATGGCAAGTAACTCTGATGACCCGTGTGCAGTGTAGTCCAGGCTGAAAAGAAAAATACTTGACCTACATGTAGTCATGTGAACTGGTCTCTGTTAAGTCTGCAGAGAGGGGAGGGAGAGATATTTTGATTGGGACTAGAAGGTGATGCAAATTCTCAAAGAGCAGCTTGTTGAAATGGGGAATGTTTCCCATGCTTTCTTTCTGCACCAACCAAAGAAGAGGTAAAGAAAGGAGTTATGAGGGCATAGGGGATTGCCAGTTTGATACTGCTTTAGCCTGTAGTGGATAGCTAGACTTGTTGGAGGTAGTTGACAATATCTGCTGGCCTCCTTGAAATGTCCAGATAGCTTTGTTACAGAAGACTTGTTCCTGTTGCCTGCTTGCTTTGATCTGAAAAATGCAAATTAATTTGGAAGAGTTTGATTTTGACGTGTTTGGATGTGTCATTTGACACATAAATTATCCTGTTCTAGGTCAGATAGTTGGGTCCTTTGACCTCTGGGTCAGTAGAGTCCCATAGTTCTGCTCAGGAGACATGTGGATGCTTTGGTGCAGGCTGTCATCTTATGGTTAGCCCATTGTGTGTGATAGACTTGTTAAATAGCATACTTATTTGGTTTGTTTGGTTGTTTTATTTCAGTGCTGTCTTTCTCCCAATTACTGGATCCAAGGTGGCTCACAAATGATTAAAAGTCCAGTTGGCATAACCAATTTTTGTTAGGGCTGTGGGAAAAAAAGATGGTGAAATTAATGTTATTAGCACATGATCAGTTCAAACACAGATTTTGCGAACCAAATAGATTCAATTGTAGAACTCTTGGTTTGGAAATAATGCATAAATAATCACTGGAATCTGCATGAATGAGGCTGCTTATTAAGAAGCATACAGTGACTTTGTAAGACTGCATATACAAATTCTTAAATCTACATTGCATGTCTAGAATTGTGGTTTGGATTAAGAAAGTTCTGTCCACCTGCCAGGTTGTGTCTGGCCTTGTTCTTCTTACCTCTGATTCAGTAGCACATCAGTTGTGCTATGTTAACAGTAATGAAGAAACTACAATTCTAGAAAGATGATCCTCCTTCTCTACATGATTTTGAACATGTAGCATTGTTAAAGTCATTTGTGTGGGACTCTTGATATGTTTACAGCTGAAACTAGAGCAATTTCTCACAAATCATTATAGTTTCTTATCACCCCCTACAGTATTCAACCTGTTTATGGAGCTCAGCACCCCCCACTGGATCCCCGGCTCACAAAAAAGTAAGTATTCACTGTTTACCTCATCAGAAGGCAAGAGTTAAACACTCATTATCATAAGATGTTCTGTTGTGGGAGGAAGGCTCTACAGTTTTTCTGTTTGCTTTGCTGTCTTGTGGAATAGCGTATCTCAAATTCTAGTTTGAGTTGCTATTTCAGACAGAAAAGGCACTTCATACTTGTACCTTAAAGTCAATTTAGTGGATTAAATTTAGTGCTGGTGGATTAAATAATAAAACATTGTTTTTGAGAGCAAGAACTGAAAATTCTATGTGAACCAGAGCTTTGTTGAGAGCAGATGATGTTCTGCTGAAATGCACTAGCTAATGTATTTTGAACTATTGGTTTTCCTTCAGGCATGAGGTTTGTCTCTTTTTGCTTTCATTGGCAAAAATGATTGGTCACTGGTAGCTTTAGTGTTAAGTCACTGTGGGAAGGCATTTCCATCACAATTGTTGTCCTCACTGCTTGTCAAGAGGTTCATGGATTGGGGAGTCAAATGCCCATTTTAATCTCTAAAGGGAATTTCACCAAGGAGAAGGTGAGGGATCAGCATATGTAGGCTACTGAGTTCCACTCTGGCCTATGTATTGCTTGCTGTATATAAGTAATGTAACATTCTAGATTAGGCTGTAGAATTGGGGATTTGTACTGACAACAAAGTTTAATTTCAAAGTTAGTTCAACATTTTTGGAAAACAAGCCATGTCTCCTTGGGTAGCTTCGGAGTTCTCCAAACTTAATTCAAAATCCAAATTGTGATTCAGGGAATCTTTCACAACAAATAACTATAATGTTCCTGGTTTTATTGTACTACAGTACATTGGATGAAATTGGCAGGCAAATGAATTCTGTGCAAATGAAACTGAATAGTGAAAAAAGATGTGCATGATTTGTGAACTTTACAATTCAGGGATTTCAGGAAAGGGAATAGTTTACTCCCAAATGCTTAGGGGAAGGGAATCCATATGAAAATGGCACATATTATATAGGTGTGCCTTAAAAAGAAGCCTGTAAAATTTCAAAATATTCCATTCAGGCATTTTTCTGCTGCATTTCATTAACTGTTTGTGACACTCTCCCCTACCTGAACTCTTGGTTCTTGCTTTAGGTTTTAAGTTATTTCAGTGCATTTTTGTGTTTGTTTTTAATTATGAAGTACAAATGTATGGGTTGAAATGGTTGATAAAGGAGAAGTGAGGGACTCAAGAGCTTCTCAACAGTCAAAGGTGGAATGTAATGCCAAAAAGTGTGGGAACTGTGCTTTTAGGGTTCATCTTTGATGCAGTGAATGGATGACACATTGCTGAAAACATAAATAGAAATGTATACTATTGAGCTTGTGGACAGTATATTGCACATGGGGACTATTTAAAGCTAGAGGTCTTCTTAAACAGGATTTCTTTCACCCTTCTGTGGGAAATCTGTGTTTGGTATATGGCTGTGTCTCAAGCACGCACAAATCTGTGCATGCATGAACCCATATACATTATTAGTCCTTGGTGCAACCATAAAACCGTATTTGTATGTCAAATGTGAAAGCTCCCCACCACCTCTTTATAATTCCAGTGAAAGAAGGAATATCCTTAGTTATTGATCAGGGCCAGAATCCTAGCTCATTGCTGGAACTGCATGTTAAGTAGTGGGTGAGGAGGCAATAGAAGTAGTAAAGCAGCTGCTGTTCTCTACCTCTCACCTGGGTTTTCATGACTGGCTGGAGCTTGTGTGTAACCCTCTTGCATGTTGCTGACAAGTGCCACCTTTAACAGTATGGTGGTACTATGGCCTCCTCATACTAGCAGCCAGAAAGAAAATGCTGAGGAGCTTGACACAGATTTGGGAATCATGGAACTTCATATAGTTGAATACTTGAGAGTATAGGGATGCAGTGTCCCTCTCCCTCCATGTTGTTCACAAAGCTTTGGGGGGACCCAGACTTCTTTCAGAAAAGTTTTGGAAGACCTTTAGGACAAATCTTGTATCTGCCTGATTTGCTGGGATGGGTTGTCTACATTTAAGGCATAACCCTACTGAAAATCTGATGTGCTGTATCCCATGTTGTGAATATAAGGTTGACCATATTTCTCTCGAAGGATATAAATATGCAGTTTCATGATTTAAAAAGTGGTTTTACTGTTAGGTGTAAAGCTGCCAGTGTGATATAGAGCAGGGGTCTCCAAACTTTTCACACAGAGGGCCACATAATATATTTTTGAGGGAGCGTGCATATAGATGCATACACACACAGAGCCCTGCCCACCTACCCGCACTCATATAGGCACACACACACCTGCCCACCTACACGCACACCTGCACAGACGGGCCAGAGAAAAAGGCCAGGTGGGCCAAATGTGGTCCACGGGCCGTACTTTGGAAACCCCTGATATAGAGGGTAGACCAGGACTCAGGAGACATGAGTTGAAATTTCCACTCAGCCATAGAAACTCATGGGGGAGGTAGGCACCAGTAAAATCACTTGTGATGAGACTTGACAGTGCATAGTGACAATTTTTAGCAGTTACAAAGCTGTAATCATTCAGACTGATCCCCCTCTAGCCCAGTCCATTTGTCTTTGAACAAATGTTACTGCTAGATGTCTGTCTTCCATCTATAGACTCTATAGTACAACTATGGATACATTTATCTGCTATAAATTTTTCTAATTGCTTACCAGTTGAAGCTTGAGAGGAACAAAATTTTCTGTAACTGTCTTGCCTGCTAAAACTTGAAAAATGTGATAAACCTTTGGAAACATGTTGGACTATTTGTCTCTTATTTTAATTTAATTTAATTTTAATTTTAATGTAATTTCCAATGATGCTTCCCCCCAGACACATGCATATTTCAAATATAAGCTTTATTGTTGGAAACAAGCCTGCCCATCACAGTTAAACGTTTCCTGTCAGCATTTTTGCCTTCTGTAGCAAATGCCCAATGTAAGTTTGCAGCTGGGATGTGACGAGGATTTTCCAGTCTGACTAGCTGAACAACAAGTGGTTCCAAGTACTACATGTGTGCACAGGGAGAAGTGGAATGGTTACGTCAACATATGGAAGCCTTGTGTTCCACACTCCAATCAGAAGCCTGTAAGGCTGAAGACAAAAACAGGACAAGAAGAATTTGGCATTTAAGTCATTTATTTAAAATATTGTTACCCCACCTTCTTACCTCTATTACCATCTCCACGCAAGAATTGGAGGTTGTTCATGACTTTGTGTACCTGGGCTCAACGATCTCTGACACTCGCTCCCTAGATGTTGAGCTGGAGAAACGCATTGGCAAAGCAGCTACCATGTTCTCTAGACTCACAAAGAGAGTATGGCTCAATAAGAAGCTGATGGCATATACCAAGATCCAGGTCTATAAAGCCTGTGTCCTGAGCACCCTCCTGTACTGCAGTGAGTCCTGGACCCCTTGTGCATGGAGAGGAAGCTGAACACATTCCACATGTGCTGTCTCAGATGCATTTTTATATCACCGGGCAGGACAACGTTCCAAATAGAGTAGTTTAGAACAAGCTGGAATTTTTAGCATGTATACATTACTGAAACAGCGACGTCTACGTTGGCTTGGGCATGTCGTGAGAATGGCTGGTGGTCTGATTCCAAAAGATCTCCTATATGGAGAATTAGTGCAGGGAAATTGCCCCAGAGGGAGACCACACCTGCAATACAAGGATATCTGTGAGCGGGATCTGAAGGCCTTAGGAATGGACCTCAACAGATGGGAAACCTTGACGTCTGAGCGTTCAGCCTGGAGGCAGGCAGTGCATCATGGACTCTCCCATTTTGAAGAGACACTTGTCCAGCAGGCTGAGGCAAAGAGGGAGTTCCAAAACCAGCAAAATCAGGGAGCTGGACAGGGGACAGATTGTATTTTCAGTGTGGAAGAGATTATCACTCTCAAATTGGCCTTCTTAGCCACACTAGATGCTGTTCCAAATCCTCTATACAGAGCACGTTACCATAGTGTCTCAAGACTGAAGGATGCCTAACTGCAACTGTAACTAAACATTTCCCGTAGGAATGCATTGAAATGCAATTAATCTGTTCTGGCTGAAGAAAAAAAATCACTGCAGGACTCATTGGAAACGCGATTAATCCCTTCCAGCCGAAGGGGAGGGGAAAAAAGAAAAAGCAATCAAGCGTGCAAGACCCCCCCCAAAAGCAACCAAACCCCCCAAGACCTATCGGAAATGGGAGGGAGTAAAAAAACAACCCCCCAAGACCCATTGGAAATGGGAAAAAACCCAAACAAACAAACCCCTAAGACCCATCGGAAATGGGGGGGGAACCAAAAAAAAACCCCAAGACCCATTATAGCACAGAAACATAATCCACCCAGCTCAAAACCACACTTCAAAAACATCCAGAGCAGTTTTTAAAAAGCAGAAAAGAGCACCTTATCGTACCTGGCAGCCCAAAGCCTCCCTGCAAACACACACACATGCTCACTCAGAAGCAGAAGGAGGCAGTCCCAAGCCTCCTCCAACAGACACTAAGTGCTGGGGCAAAAGAGCTACAAAGAAGCAGCCTTGTTGCCACCTACAGTTAGAAATTTGTATTTCCTGCCTTTTTCCCCTGCCTTTTCTGTTAGTAAGTAGAAGCTCTGGTTGCAAGTAGAAGCAAAATTTTGCGACCGGAGCTGGTCGTAACTTGAAATGGTCGTAAGTAGGGACGTTCGTAAGTCGAGGCACCACTGTACAAATATGTAAAAAGCACCAAATACCACACTAAAAATGGTAAGCAAAATCAACATTAAAAACAGGTTTACAGGAATACAGCACAAGACTATTAAAATGCCTCTCAGCCAGTCTGAAGAGAAAGGTCTTTGTCTGCTTGCAGAAGGACAGCAAAGATGGAACCAACCTGGTCTTCTGTGGGAGGGAGTTCCAGAATCTGGGTACAGCAATAGAGAAGGCCCTCTCTTGTGTCCCCACCAAATGTACTTATGAAGATGGTGGTTTTGAGAGAAAGGCCTCCCCTGATAATCTTAACATTTGAGCAGACTCTTAAAGGGAGATAACTTGGACCCAAGCCATTTAGGGCTTCATAGGTAAAAGTCAGCACTCTTAATTGTGATTGGCAACCAGTAGAGCTGCTGTAATGGGAGTCATTTGGTTCCTATAACCAGCCACAGTTAGCTGCAGTGCTTCGGACCTACTGAAGTTTCTTGTCCAAAGGCAGACGCACGTAGAGTGTGTTACAGTAATCCAGCCCAGATATAACTAAGGCATGTGTCACCATGGCGAGATCAGACCTCTTCAGAAATAGGTGCAGCTGGTATACTGTGCAAAAGCAATCGTGGCCATTGCCAAAATGTGGGCATCCAGGCTTAGAGACAAATCCAGGAGAACGTCAAAGCTGGTCATCTCTGTTCGTACTGTTTTATGAATTGTACACTTATGATCAACACCAACTTTCCTCAAACTGGTACCTTCCAGATTTCTTGCAAAAAAGGGCAAATGCTATTGTAGGCTGCCCTTCATTGGTTGCTGCCTTGTCATGGTGAAGAGGCTTGAGTAACTCAGAGAAGCTATGGGCTATGCCGTGCAGGGACACCCAAGATGGACAGGTCATAGTGGAGAGTTCTGACTAAACGCAACAGGTAGAGGCAAGCCAGTCCAGTATCTTTGCCAAGAATACCCCATGGAGAGAAACAAAAGGGTAAAGGATATGACACTGGAAGATGAGCCCCTCAGGTTGGAAGGCGTTCAACATGTTACGGAAGAAGAGTGGAGGACAAGTATAAGTAGCTCCAGAGCTAATGAAGTGGTTAGGCCACAGTCAAAAAGAGGCTCAGCTGTGGACGTGCCTGGAAGTGAAAGGAAAGTCCGATGTTGCAAAGAAAAATACTGCATAGGAATCTGGAATATAAGATCTATGAACCCTGGTAAACTGGACGTGGTCAAACAGGAGATGACAAGAATAAATATTGACATCCTGGGCGTCAGTGAACTAAAATGGACTGAAATGGCCGAATTCAATTCAGATGCTTATCGTATCTACTATTGTGGGCAAGAATCCCGTAGAAGGAATGGAGTAGCCCTCATAGTCAACAAAAGAGTGGGGAAAGCTGTAATGGGATATAATCTCACAAATAATAGAATGATTT